GACGGTCCAACGCCCGTTGTAGGCTGAAGCAGTCGTTGGTGTCATGGCCAACCTCCTCATGGTATTGGCAGAACTTGCTCTTGTTCCCTGACTGAATGGAACTTTTCATTGGATTCGGCTTCTCTAGGGATAGCCGGTCCTTGATTTCCATGAGGATGGAGTTGCAGTCCTTGTTAACTCGTACTTTGGGACGTACGGTTTAAATTCTTTCTTCTTCTTCTAGGACGGCTGGTCAGAGGCATTAACCGCTCATATTTCTTTTCTTTTCTTGCTCTCTTTATTTTTTGCCGGCTAAGCAGACCGACTGTCTTTCTGCTTGTCAGACTTCTTGGAGTCCGACTGGTTACCAGGCGTGCAGAGGTCGGTAGCTTGAATATAGCTTCCCGCCTCCCTCAGGGCTTCCTGTAAGGTGAAAGCCCCTTTTCTGACTAGGTCGACCCGTCTCTCAGACCCTTAAAGAAGTCTGTAAAAGCTACCTCATCAGACAGTCCCTGAATCTGAATTCTGATCAGATTGAACCGCCTGACATATGAGCGCAGCCTTTCTCTCTCTCCCTGCTTAACAGTGCTCAAATCAAGGCTTGTTTTCTTAGAAGAGATGTTCGTTGAGAAGTTGGAGGCAAACAGGAAGGCGAGCTTCCTGAAACTATCGATGGACCCGGCTGGCAGATTACCAAACCATTGTTGGGCAATGCCCTTCAATGTAGCCGGGAAGCACCGACACCAAGTGGCATCATCCAACCCCTGCAGATACATGAGGTTGGTGTAAGCCATGAGGTGGTCTTCCGGATTGGTGGTACCATCATAGGTACCAACCAATACATTCTTAACCTTGGCCGGCTGAGCCGCCTCGGTTATCTCCCGGGTGAACGCAGAAGGCTGTTCACCCAGGCGCAGCAGACGGAGCTTCCAGTCCAATGGCTGGACATTTTGATATGCTGCCTGACCTCCAAAGAGAGTCGGCTGCATGAAGTGAGGGGGATACTGTCCGTAAACCTGGGTAGGCACGTACGGTACAACTCCAATCATATGAGGGCCAGAATGGACGGTATTACCGCCTGTCTGGCTCTCATGCAAGGAGGGTGCACTCCCTGCAGAAATGTTGTTGAAAATGTCTGGAAAGTTCGACGTTGAAGCCGACTTAGACATCGACTGGTTTCTCTTCCGGTTGATGATCTCCCGGGCATCAAGAATTGATTTTTTGCTTCCCACCGTCTGTTGAGTCCGGCGGATGTTGTTCCTCTTAGGAAGGATAATTTTTTACCAATCAATGGTCCCGGTTGCCTTCTCCTTTGGATGAGGAGTGGGCTGCCGTTCTCTGACTGACTTCCCCTTCTCCGGAGAAGCCTTCTTAGCCGACTGACCTCTACTCGAGCCAGCCCGGCTCTGGGTGTTCAGCTCTTTAATTTCACCCTTGAAACTTGTCATGAACCTCATGAGTTCGTCTCGGGTGACAGGTGTTGATCCTGCGGCCGTATGGGTTTCCCCTTCGGCTGCCCAGGTGGTCGACTTGCACCCGCCTGGGAGGCACCCCGCTCCAGAGTCTCTCTGGGCCGGATGCGCTTGATTCTGAGAGAGCCGTCATCGGCTGTAAAGGTTTCGACCTGGGGATCTTCATCCTCCTGGTCTGTAAAGACTTCTGGGTCATCGCCTAGACAGTTAGGGGGTGGTACAGACTCTTGAACCATCTTCGAGGTACTCTCCCCACAGACAGCGCCAAATGTTTTGGGTGTTTTTGTCCCTCGGGAGAGTTACAACTCGGAGACTGATCCAGGGGGAGTTGTACCTGCAAAACAAACGGAGACACTTGTTGGGTGGTGCTCCGCCTCTGACGCACAAGTTAGTAACTTGTACAGAAAGGAAAAGATGGCGAAATTTAGGTGGGTATCTGCTTGGATTCCAAGCTCAGATGTCTCTATCACAGGGACTGTTTGTAATAAATGGTAAAACGTGCCCTCAAAAAGAGGGATATCTCCCTATTTATAGGGTCTTTGGGAATTGTGCCCCTGATTAGGTCACTGAACCCTAATCATTGGTGGGATGTGCCGCTTTGCGGCTTTCTCGGGATTTGGGCCTGAAGGCCGCCCTTTTTTCCCTTGATTTCTGGAATGACACGTGTCAGGCATTGATTGGTCTACTTTGGGCCAACCTGAAGCTGACACGTGTCGTCCTCTGGTTGGACCACGTGGCGGGGTAAAATTACCCTAAACACTTGTGATTGCAATTGTTCTTCGTTGTATCTCCTAAGTAAATTTCCGTGAAACCCGGTTGTAGTATAGGGTCGGAATTATACTTTTGGGAAAGTGATTCCGTTCACGCCTCGAAGATTTTACCAGTTTATTTCATTTCTTTCTTTGTGACCCTTGTTAAACACAAAATCCCCAACAATTACTACTTTCGCTTCGCATTACTCGCAACAAAGGAGTATTATTTGTGAGATATAAAATATTCATTTGTTGCGAGTAATACGAAGCAGAGGTAGTATATCATGTGAACTCCACATACCTTAAGTACCGTGAAAAAGTGTGTGTTGCAACTATTAAAAAACAGAGAAAGTAGAAAGAAAGTAGAATAGAGATGTGAGAGAAAGTAATAATGAATATTGAAAAGCCATTAAAATATTACGAAATGTACAATAATTACGCATAAAAAGTAGAGGACAATTGAGTATTTAAATTGTAAAGCTAGGGTAACGTTGTCCAAAATTAATGACTTAAAAAGAAAATATACTAAATGTAAAGAATAAAAAGGAACACCCTAAATAGAAACGTAAAGAACATATAGGAACAGAGGGAGTAGTATTTTATTTCATCCTCTAGCTTTGGTCAATATTTCCCGTGTAAAACACATTTGTTGCTAATTTTACGGTATATTATAACATGAAATGCTAATTCAACAATAATTTACGTAGATAATGATAAGCTTTAGTTCTTGTTTCATATTTTGTAAACCCTGATTTCATTAATATATTCGGCTGTTGTACAAAAATTAAAATTAAAAATAGTATTATAATACCATCAAATTGTACTATTTATTTATTTATTTATTTAATGATATCTTTACTATCTCATAAAAATACACAATACTCCCTTTCTTACCGAAAGTTGTTCAGAGTGTTTGATACTTTATGGCGTACCAAACACATTTTGCTTGCTTACAACTTACAAGTCATGAGTACATAACTACATACTCCGTATTACAATTAAAGATGGCACTGGGCCGAGCCGGCATAAAGCTCGGCACAATCCAGCACGAAAAAAAACACGGCACGACATGGACATGTAAAAGCACATCACGACACGGTATTGTGTGTGTGGGTTGGGCCTGGGTCGCCTTTATTTGAGAGAAGCACGATAAGGCACGACACGATGGGGCAAGACATGACAAAACATGCTAAAATCAATGCAATTTTGCTTAGGCATGCAAACCGGACATGACCCGATACGATGGCATTGTGGACATGGGCCGTGCACGAGCCAACCTTTTGAAAACTTCGGCTCGACATGGCACGGAACGGAAAGAAACTAAATATGTATTCCGGGTGTAACTAACTTTAAAGCATATGGGTCTACCACGACTCCACGAGACACGATCCAGAGCCATCTTAAAATACTCGTATTACGACTTTACACGAGTCAATCGAGTACCGGTTAACGATTACTCGTACATAGCAATGTAGCATATCATTAATGCTTTGATATCAACTCAGTCAGTCGGGCACCGGTTAGAAATTACTTGTAGGCCAATAACTTGGGAGTATAAAATAAAGTAGTTTGAGTTAGTGAGTAATTGCTCTCTTATTGTTTCCCTCCAAAAACACAACTCAACTGCTATTTGTCGCTCCTAAATTACCAGGTAACGCTCCCTTTTTGACTTGAATGGACCACTATGCCCTTTATGTAATTTGGGTTATAAAAAAGACCTTGTTCCCCATTTGGACACAATACATGAAACGGTCCCCTCACTTCACGACATTGCTATCCCGAGCTTCCTAAAATCGGTCCCCACGACCTTGCAACCAAATCGGTCCCCACGACCACCTAAATTTTCTATTTTAAAAAATCGTTAAATTTTCCGACGGGTCTTGGGTCATGGACGGCGAGTGGAACATACGTACGCCGGAGAATGCGTCGGATCATTCTATAAGTTTTTTATTTTATTTTCGGTAATTAGGACATCCGCCTAAAATTTCCGGATGTCCTAGGTACATCCGCCTAAAATTTCCGGATGTACAATGGAACATCCGGAAATTTCAAGCGGAAGATGGGATCCGCCTAAAAAATTCGGATGTTCCATGGTACATCCGGAAATTTCAGGCGGATGTACCTAGGGACATCCGGAAATTTTAGGCGGATGTCCCTATTAATTTTTTTTTTAAATGTTAAGTACGTTTATTTAATTTTTTTTTACGTTTATTAAGTTTTTTTTTATGTATTTTTTTTCGTGGTCTTGTGATTATTGTTGTGATTTAGTATTTGATAATTAATGTAATTTTGTTGTATTAATATGATTATTAGTAAAATGTTTATTTTTTGTTTCATTATTATTATTATTATTTATATTATTATTATTATTATTATTATTGTTATTATTAGTAATATGTTGATATTATTGTTGTTGTTGTAGTTGATATTATTATTGTTGTTGTTGTTGTTGATATTGTTATTATTAATTAGTAGAAATATAATATTAATATTAATATTAATATTAATATTATTATTATTATTATTATTATTATTGTTATTATTATTATTTATTTATTTATTAATTAATGTTATGGTCTTATAAATTGTTTAGTAGTTGTTGTTATAATTTTTTATTATCATTAATATTGTTATTGTTTTGTATTTGTTGTTCTTATTATTAGTATTGTTATTATTATTATTATTATTAGTATTGTTTTTATTATTTTTATTATTTTAATTTTAATTATTATTATTATTATTGTTTTTATTATTATTATTTTGACATAAAGCATGTTTTGTTTAATTTGTATAGGATATGGAATCTGAGGAAGGCGGTGACGGTGTGAATTATAGTGGGAATTTTGTCACCGATACGTTTTTTTCTACATTTGACGATGTTGTTACATGGGCTGATGGTGTTTCCATAAAATTGGGATTTATATTGGTAAAATCGTCTTATAACAAAACCAGAGATGGTCGGCCGTATCGGTATTTGCGATGTGATCGGTCACGAAGGAGCAAGCCGAGAGATTTGGAGAACGCGATACGGAAGGACACCAAAACCAAAGCTAATGGTTGTCCATTCTACATCAAGATATATTATGATGTCAGCACCGAAAGTTGGAAGATCATTGCGAAAAATGATCACACCGGGACACATAACCACCCAATGATTGTGTACCCAGAAGGTCATCGTAAAGTGAGCGGATTTAGTCCGGGTGCAAAACAGGTTGTGCGGGACATGACAAAGTCCAAGGTTGCTCCCTGTAACATCTTGTCCACTATTGCCGAGCAATTTCCTGATGATCATCCAAACATCCGACACATTTACAATTGCCGAAATGACTTCAGGATGGAGATGTCCGAAGGAAGAGGAGTTGTTCAACAATTTCTTCATCTGGCGAGAGAGAGTAAATACATTTACTGGTTCACGAACGATGATCACAACGTTTTGCAACATGCATTTATGGTGCACCCGATTATGGTCAACATACTCCGCACATACCCACATGTCATAGGTATGGATTCTACTTACAAGACCAATCTATATAACATGCCTCTCTTTGAGATAGTAGGCGTGACACCGACAAACCAGAATTTTCTAGTTGGATATGTTTTCATGCGCGACGAGTGCACGGCTAGCTATCGGTGGGTGTTGCAGAGATTAAGGGAGTTGATTGGGTTTGATAAAGAGCCATCTGTATTTATTTCAGACCGTGATCTTGGGCTATGTGCGGCTTTGAGAGAAGTCTTTCCAGGGACGTCACATTTACTCTGTCTATGGCACATTAACAGAGATGTGGAGGCTAAGGTGACGAAGATGTTTGGAAACAAGACGGTTGGTGTCAGTTTTAGAGCTGGGAGATGGTTCAAAATCGTGAATGCAACAACACAGGCGGAGTATGATCGTGCTCTAACTGCCATGCAAGTGAGGTGGGGAAAATATCCGGAAGTGATTCAGTATGTTCAGAGAACTTGGCTTTGTCATAAGGAGAAATTTGTGAAATTTTGGACGAACCAGGTTCTTCATTTTGGTAACACCACCAACTGCAGAGTTAAGAGCCAACATTCAGCAGTGAAAACTTGGTTAGAATCATCCACAGGTTAGTTGTATTATTTTATTAGTTGTTCTCGTTGTTACGTAATTGTAATTGTATTAATTGTAATTGTATTTGAATTTACTAATTAGAATCATTGGCAGGTGCTTTGGATACCGTATGGGCCCGAGTCCATTGTCATATCGGTAATCGCATCATACAAATTTGTAATGACTTGGAGGCATCAAGGTCTAAAATTGGTCAGATGTACAGACAGTTGCCACTGTCACGTATAAATGGCAAAGTGTCTCAACATTGCTTGAAAGTTTTGGATAACGAGACGAAAATGATGCGGGATTTGAGTTACCAGGTCCATGAACGGTGTGGATGTGCTATGCGTCTGACCCATGGTCTTCCATGTGCTTGCCAGATACATGACTCGATAGTTGCACAGACATGATTGTATAGCAGCCAAATTCATTCTTTCTGGAAGATATTGGTTATTGGTGATGGTGTTAACATTCCTGAAGTGGTAAATGATTCGACCGAGGAGGCTGCACATTTTCGGTCCCTAATCGACGAAGTCATGGAAAGTGACCCGGCCGTACGTCGAAATGTAACGCGAATCATTGAAGAGGAGCTACATCCAAATCATTCACACCTTGAAGAACCACATATCAACCTTAACACTCGTGGTCGACCAAAAAGAAATAACACCAGGCGTGATCGTAGCTATTTCGAGCATGTGAACCGTCAACACACTCAACATGGTGGTGACCCAGAACCAGGTAATACTAAAATTCCATATTTAATATAAAAATATGTAAACTTAATACTTGTAGCTTTACTAATAATTTATCTTTTAATTTTGTGTTGTAGATCCAAGTGACATTAGTCAATGCAGGTATTTGAACTTGCTTCCAGCCCCAATGTTGCCGTACATTTCGTCTTGGAAGGATGTCATTGGTGATGGGAACTGTGGCTTTCGTTGTGTTGCCGACTTCTTCTTTGGCGATCAAAATAAGTGGTTTGACGCTCGGGAAACAATAGCGAACGAGGTCGCTGGTCATCCTGATTTGTACGAACGGATTTACGGGCTTGGGCGACTTTGGATGAACGTGGAGCGTATTCGATGGGATGGTGGGGCTGTCGGGGAGCGGCATTGGATGGTTACAATTCAAGATTTATTTCCTATTGCTATGTGGTTCAACGCAAGGGTGATTTGTCTCGGAGTAGGCCTAGTACCAACTTGCTACTACCCATGCATCACAGTCTTACCGCTTAGGGCACGCAACGGGGTTCGGTCACCGACTCGAGAGTTTGTGATTGCTACAGTTGGTGGATCACATTTTATCCGTCTTGACCTTGTACCTGATTCACCACTCCCGACGATCGCCGGTTGGTGGACGGAACACCACGAGGATAGTGTCAATGGATGGGATCAAGCATATCAATTGAGAAGGGACATGTGGGATGCATTAGTTAGGTAGTTTGTAATGTACATTCACTAACTTTGAACATTTGTAAGAAAATTAGAATTATGAAATTAATTTTAAATGTATTTGCTTTTAATCTAACATGATATGCAACAAAACATCAAATATAAAATAAAATAAGTGTCCAGTTTATACATTACATTTAAAAAAATAAAATATAAATAAGTTCATAACATAATTAAAACCATCACTAACAGAACATCTAATCAAAATAATCTAAAGTCCCATTTTTGACTTCCAATCAAATACAAGCTGCTCAGTCATTGTTCGAGTCTCACTCGACATTTCAGGATACTCAGCTAGTGCTCTTTGGTGAATCTCCATGGACCGACCCATCCACTGCAAATCAAACAATAACATATTATAACACAAAAATTAATAGAAGTCATAGTTAATATAATAATAAGCATTAATACTTACGTAATAAGTGTTAGTCCGCTCAGGCAGGTTGCTTGTAACTCCTGGACCTGGAGATACCCGCGGGCAAGAAAACCTGTACAGCCACTGCATGTAACCGGGCGCAACCGAAGGAGCTGCAGCACTAAGCCTGGGTAGGGCACCTAAAACAACACGCTGAGATACCCCAGGGACAAACCTGTTCCACATCACAGCTGTCATCTCAGTCGGGAAGTCTACTCGATACATCTTCAAGTTAGTCGGCCTCTTGGCCTTTTCTGGCCTGATGATCTCGCGGGGAATGTCTTGCACGAAACCAAGCTAGCGCACCACTCTATCAGGCATGTACGGCTCAATGATGTTACGGTACTGGATGCAGCCAATGAATAAAGTGGGTGGCACTCGTAATGCAGGATCAGCTCCGTACGGTAGCCAGTTCACCTCACGGTCAGTAAGCGCATCAATCCTAGTACGAAAAGATAACAGGCGCTCCAGGTTCTTGCTAGGACATCCCGCTTCTACATCCTAAGCAGACACACGAGGCATTTGAAGGTCCCGGGTCAAGGTACCCTGCTGTGGCCGAAAGCACGGAAAGTACTCGTAAATCCACGCTTGCAGAAGCGTGAGACAACCAGCAATCGAATCAGCACCTTTCCGTGATGCCGTGCCCAATTGCCGATACAAGTAGGCCAATGCAGCTGTTCCCCAAGCATACTCGTTAATAGGGAAATCCGTGTGACATAGCTCATGGAGGAAGGAAGGATGCGTACGGTTACCACTCTTGTCTACAAACAGTGTACCTCCAAGCACTAACCACAAGTATGCATCAAGCTGCTCACTAAAATCCCGGTCAACCGCCAATGTCGACTCAAAAATCTTATCAGTCAACACCCCACTACCCTGCCAAATGGTCTTTGTGCCGCAAATCTCAAACAGATCATCTAGAGTCATATCCATGGTGACCGAGCACGCGTCCCGTAACACGTCCGTGCTAGGAGTAGTGGACACCATATTGCCTGCAACCCGTAACCCAAGTATGTTGTACACGTCGTGCAGCAAGATCGTAATCTCCCCAAATGGCATGTGAAAGGTGTTCGTATCTGGCTGCCACCTCTCAACAAAAGCAGAAATCAACGGCCAATCAAGTCTCTTAAACATCAGGCCGGGCAAGTGAGACCACCAACTAGCATCAATCGCCGCAATGTCCTCCACAGATTGACGACCTCGCCAAGTGAACAAGTCTGAACATAACTTTGTCCTACTCAAACATCGCAAAACACTACGCTCCTGCTCTATCCAGATATACCGTGCCACGTGACCGCCAAAACTAGGGATAACTGACCCATCCTCAGGCCCACCCGGCATCGGTTCCTGCACTAACCATGCCTCTGCAGAGCTAGAAGTAGGCTGACTCGACCCACTACCAACAAATCTCCCAAACTGACCCCTATATACCATATGGAAATCCTGAGGGTCCTGTTCTTCATCCCGGTCACCAGCACGACTAGCTGAACATTCGTCTTCCTCGTCAGATATGGGTGCTCCACTTGCAGAGTACAAGGGCCGACTACTACCAGACTGTTGGTCTCTCGACCAACCACTAGTAGACCCGTATTGCTGCTGCTCGGGCTGAACCGGTGAAGATCGAGATGTTTGTCTCCTAACAGACGCATTCAGACGTCGTGATATTGCATGTCGAGCACCAGAACCCTCGATCTACATAAAATAAAAAAATAATCCGATTTTAGTAATAACAATAACAATAACCATAATAACCATAATAACAATAACAACACCCGAACACAACCTTGAAACTCACTTGAAGAGAAAAAGGGGCAAAAATGGCGTCTACCTCTGCTGCTCGCCGTGGCGTGGGAGCTTCCGTGCGAATCAAAAACACTACTGATACCTTCGTCTCCGATAATCGACCACTTATCTCTGTAATTTTTACTGCCTTTTCATCTTCAATTTCCTTAATTGTTCATCATTTAATTCTTACTTTTTACTAAAATTTTCTTTTTTATTGATGTTTTTATTTACTTATTCAGGACATCCGTAAAGCCCTAAATACGTTGAGGGAAGTTGCGGTAGAAATGGAGAGATTCAATCGATCTGAACAGGTAATTTCTCCAAAATAACAATGCAATTAAACCCTAATTTGTCATTTTTACTAATTTTCCTTTATATATGCAGTATGAACCATAATGTTGATTTAATATTGTGAAGATTATGAACCCTAATTTCTCAGCAGTTTTACCAATTACACGATGTGATCTTGCTAGTTAGATGATGTAATGAATGTTTAATAATGCATGTTGATAAAATTAGGGTGATTGGGTGTTATTTTATGGGTATAACAAATCAAATTATTTGTTGCTGTTTTGGCTAAAAAAACCCAATAAACTTACAAGATACTGTTACTAAATGGCGCGCTTTTTGGAAGAAAATATGTGTGTGATCTACATAAAGATCATTGCTTTATTTTATGAAGTTGTTTGGAGGAAATGAGGGATATATATTCTTGTTCTGCAACATATATTATCATCTTGGGGATGATCGGTTGAAGGGCAAGCTTACAAGTTTTGAGTGATCGCTCTTATAGTCCTTATTGGCTTTAGAGGATGTTGAAAGAGAGGGAACTTGGTAATACTTTTATGTGTTTGTTTGTTGATTGTTCAATGCTTATGCTTTGTTGTTGTTTATTTTTTTCGGATGCAATGATGCCATCCACCACAAGCTCCTGTCCATGAACTGACAGTAACATGTTGCAGGTAAGAGAGCTTGAAGACGCTTTTGTAGAGTTATTGGGCACTTATGAAGAATCCATGAATTTTACCAATGTGATGGAATCAGTTGGGAGCAATTACCAACCTGGCCCGGAGGTTCTCTGAACGAATTTTTCTTTTTCTCATGTGATTATTCTCTATTTCTTTATAAAAAGCTAATGTTCTGTGTTTTGTTTTGCCCCCCCCCTTGCAGTTAACCGATTTTAATAAGCTGTTTAAAAATGAAGTTTCTAGGCTCAAGCGTAATGCGTCTTCAAATCGTCAGACTGCTGGCATGTTACGGCAGTTCAAAGAAGCTGTTTGGGTATTGTTTGATCCATCTTCTTGGTATCTCTTTATAATAATTGGATGTTGATGATGTAGAATTTCAGGAAAGGAATATTAGAAATTATTATCTCTAGCTTCAAATTATAATTTTAAATATATGCTCTTTCTTATAATTTGTGCTGTCAGTCATATTATACAATTATATGAATCCAGAAACTGAATTTCACTGTGCAAGTGACTGAGAATATATCTGATTAACGTACTATTTGCTAGAACTTAATTGGAGACAGAAACGTTTCACTATTTATGCCTGGGTTATTTACATTATATCTTGAATTTTTTTCATACGTTTTTCTTGCAGAATGTCCATCATTCAGGTCAGCCAATGCCTGGTGAAGAGCAAGAAGACATTGTGATGACCAGCACACAAGGCATTTTAAATACAGCTTGCCCAATATCTGGAAAGTCAATTACTGACCTGGCAGATCCAGTTCGCAGGTAATATTTCATCTATTCTTCATGTGTTGTATACTTGTATGACTTATTTTGTATGCGGGACAGATGTAATTTTATATTTTGTATCAGTTCAACAAGCTGTTAGAAAAGAAACATGAGTGTGGATGCCAATAGTTTAGTTGATTAAAGTCTTGGGGGTTGGTACCCCTTTTCCTCTTTCTTTGTTTACTTTAGTTGCTGTCAGCTGGTTTCAGAAGTGAAGCTGCTTGGTTGTATTTGTGGTTTTTGGTAGGGCTTGTGCTGTCTCGCTTGCAGCTTGTGGATGATGCAATTCTTTCTATCTCAAATTGGAAAAATAAAGAATATTGTTTACTCTTCTTTGAATTTTTGAGTTGATTTTGGGGCTTAAGATCAATGTTTCCAAGACCCCAAGTCCAGCATATCTGGTTTTAATATGGATTATGGTATTCTTACTAGTGTTTCATGTCTGTCCGATTAAGTTATCTGGAGTTTCTTTGACTTATCACAAACTACTTTAGGGGGTCATTATAAGGGAACCTTTTTGGGATCTTATAGTCTAGAGTGTTGCCTAAAGTTTAGATAGTTGGTCATAATAGGACATAATACTCTGTTTTGTCAATCTAAAATAGCTATGTATCCCTTATCCTTGATTAAACTTCCAACAGGTATGTTTGGTAGGTGTGACTGTGTGAGAGAGTGATGAGGGGTTGCTTTTGGTCTGAAGTTGGGAAACATAAAGTAGAGATCATCAGTTTCACCACAAATTGAGTTACCATTAAGATTGTAACCTCAAGTTAGGAACTGTAGGTTTTGGTGATTTTATATTCAAGTTCATCTCCATGGTAAGTAAATAATTGTGGGCTTTTGGTGATTTTATATTCAAGTTCATCTCCATGGTAAGTCAATAAATTTGAAGCTGAAAAGCACTTGAAGCTGAGAAATTTCATTTGCAATTAGATATTATTATATTAATGCATGCAGTTCAAAGTTTTCAGCACTTTTTTAATAAAGCGAATGCATTAAGAAGTGACTGTAAATTTCATAGTTCCTTGTATGATCTAGATTCTGTAAGGTTTAAGATTTTATTGTTGTCTTTATACTGCTTAATCTGCCAAGACTCTTGTCACTTTACCAAAATGTATATCAGACACTTAGGCTGTCATTGAAGACTAGAAGTAGCATCCCTTTGGCTGTGCAGTAAGGGAATGCAAGCCTGGTAGAAGATGTATTGTCATTATATTTGAAAATGGTGATTAGCTTAGCCTGCCTATATATTGGATAACTGGAGAAAAGGATTTGATGGTTGTGAGTTAAGGCTACCTTAAGTTATGTCTCAAAATTCTGAAGCTCACTGATTTCAAGTAGAAGATAAGTCCTAGAGAGAGTTAAAATAATGGTCTCTCAGTCTGTTAACTCATCAAAGCATGTATAACTTCTGTAGTTTACCTACTTACTGTTGGATGCGTAAGTTTGTCTTTTGGTTTGAGATTTTGTGTAACTTCCTTCCTAAGTTGACTTGTTGCTCAAAGAAAGAGAATTAAGCAGTCGAACTTTTTTCAAGGCAATTTGTTTCCTGTAACTCTGCTGTTGAAACTCTTGACTGATTTTTCCTTTGGCAGCATGGACTGCAAGCACGTCTATGATAAGAGTGCAATTCTGCACTTCATGAAGAATAATCCAACGAAAAAATGCCCTGTAGCAGGTTGTATTAATCATCAGTTCTATGGTTTAGCTCATCTAACCTTTTTGAGCTGTAACATTTATACCTAATTTCTCTTGCTTTCAGGTTGTCCCAAACCATTAAAGGCTAATAGAGTGGTGTGTGACGCTCTATTACATGTGGAAATCGAGGAACTGCGTTCATCAAATAAAAATACTGTTGAGCCTGAAGGTATAGAAGACTTCACTGCACTTGACAATGAAGACTGACAAGCGATGAAGGCTGTATATAAAGCTCACACTATTAGGTTCTCATTGTTCCTCATTCTGTTTGAAATACAGTAGAGGTACCTTTTGCAATATGAAACCTATGATAGCTGTAATATGGAGTATATGCTTGTATTGCAATCGCTTTGACCTGTTCTTTGCTGATCATCCTAGGATTATGTCTAACAGTTCTTATTTTGGTGTTTGTATTTATTATAAAAATTAAGTATCTGGAAATATCTCCATTGGTGTTACATAACAGAAGGCCAACATATATTAGTACATGTAATTACAAGTATTTGGATAATTTGAAAAAAGAGTAAAATAATTCATGTAGCCCAACTTCAAACTCACCTGAGTTACCTCTTCTATGTAACCACATTTATCTGTGATCTGCTGGAAATTGGGATCCCATTACCTGGTGAAGTAAGTGTAAAACCATAACAAAAGCTACACAGAACCACCACCATGCCACAGTTGACCTTTTCTTCTGTGATGACCAAGAAAATGGCTTTTTCTTTTGCAGAGGTAGTGGTCTTGAGAGCAGAAATTTTGATAGTAGACAGTCAATATGAAGGATTATAGGGCACTTGCCACATTTGTAATACCAGTGACTGCAGTATCCCCCACAAACAGTGCAAGAATTAGATTTTTCTCGACACTGTAGCTCTAAATTGTGCTCTACATCTGTTATGTAGTGTACATATTGAGGCAATTGGCTACAAAGTGGGTGAACATAAATTTCACACCGCTTACAGTGATAGAATAGGCCCCCTACACCCTTACCACATACTTCACAGGCATGTTTGTTGGAAAATGAGGCTCTTGACCTTTGCACTAAGGTCAAGTGAAGTCGGTGTTTTGGGTGCATAAATGAGCAAAGATTTGCAGGACAATGGCCACAATGCATGTGCAGATTGAAACTGCATTCCTTGCATTGGTATCTCTGTCCGATGCCTAACATTTCACAGCCATCACATTTGAACTCATTGTCCTCTGAAATTTCCTTCAGTGGATGGCATTGATGTGTGAAGTGCTTTAAGGTGGTCATTTCCCTTTAGTCTTTCGTCCTGTCAAGAAAGGATGATTATTTCAGTAGTTGCTCTGAAGGTGTTAATTGCGATTTGGAAGGCTTAGTCATCTCTTTAGATCCTCATTAGCTGTAAATCCTGTTGTGGAAAGATCTGCAAGGACCTGTTCATTGATTTGGAATTTAGAACCAAGTTAACTGTCATTGACCACATCATTTGCTGGACTTGGCCACTTGGGTTAGAATCATGCTAATTTCATATGCCGTTTTCTTTGTTTTTCCTCTGTTTTGGCTTCGTATATACTTGGTTTGCGGCTTCAGAAGTCAATATGGAAGGAGTACATCACAGCAATTACTTTTTCTTGGTTTTGATAGATCATATAAGTATTGCTTAACAGTTTCAAAAGATTGACAGCCTCTTTTGGCTGATGTATCCTCTGAACTAGTAAAGCCTTGTTGAGTCTTAATAGAAATTTAAAATAGTAATGTGAAACTGACTGTCATGAGGATCAATGTCTCTGATATTGGACCTGACTGGCTTATTTGGTATAATGGCAAATATTGAGGGAATGGAATTGAATTTGTTTTGTTATTATGTAGCCATTCAAAAGATACTGAAAAATCAAGTCCCTTTATTCCTCTTCATTACCATATGGAATCTGGAATGTCAATGAGGTGGGCGGATTCGGTGGATGCCCAGGAAGGTCCGTCACGCCCATCCTTGTCCCAACACTTATGACAGGCACAACAAATCCTATACTTTACGAATTTAATAGAGAGCATGTATTTAGTAAATTTTTTTACTAGTTATTCTAAAGCCTACAAGTATGACATGATTGTGATTTGGTGAAATTTCAACCTCCAAACTTAGGTCGGAGAGCCGACTTAATCATTGTTTGTTCTAGATGTTATTGTATTGGGTGCAATTACTTGTCAAATGCGTTGGTTTTACAGCTTCCTCTACGTTGCACAACTTGCACCAATAGAATGTTGGCGCAATCAAAACCAGATACTATCCAGTATAATCTCACATGACTTTTCGATACCATTAGTCCTTACTCCTTAGGCCATGCTAACCAGACTATGTCAATGATTTTAAACAATATATTTGCTGTTTGAAGCAGAAGGTTTATATATGTATAAGTTGACAAATATTTAATAGTAGTATGACTAGATAAGCTTAGCCTATTCCACTTGACCAAGTAGTAATTAATTGTGTATATTACCCATATATGAATATGACCAAGTATTCCAAATAATCAATTTTTTTTTTTTTTTTTTTTTTATTTTATTTTTTTTTAAAAAATACTCCATATTGTTCACTAAATACAGCCATTAAGAGAAAATCAAGGGAAAATCAATAAGAGAAAATCAAGGGAAAAATAATTTCCGACAACCTCTAATCTCATGTCTGGGCTTGAATGTTTCAATAATTCATGAACAACCTTCATTGAAACATTGCATAAATATAGAATAGAACAGTAAGTGTTTTTCTTAAAATTTTGGCCCTGTGCTAGCAATAAAGAGTAAGCATCAAGTTAGGCAGTTAGCTAAGCTTATCAATTGTTCTTTCTGATATGTATGGTAACCAGTGCTCTGGAACTTAAAAAAACAAGGAAATCTCAAACAATCATTCAGAATGCTACAAATCAAAGACGAAATCAGAAGGCCAAAATCCTGATTAGCATTACAAATCAACTGATAAGTTCTTAATACATAACCAATTTATGTTAGAATAAGATATGTTATACACATGTTCAAGTGATATTACAAGCCAAAACTAAGTAGCTCTAAATTTCAGAACAGATCTTTTAATAAGAAGATGTCTTAGGACTTTAACATCTTCGGGATAGTTTTTATCCAAAGATGCCCACCATTCTATATCAGTAGGAAGACGACGAAGTGTGCATTCAGAAGAATCACAAAGCAAGGGCAGGGAGAGTGGGATCATTTTCAACATAGGGCAGCCCTCCTTGTTCAACTTGATAAGAGAATCACACAGCAGTAGTCCTCTACAGATACTCTCCAAATTCGGCATGTTACATAGTGATATAGTTTTCAAGTTTGGGAGTGAAAGGAGGCTATCCTTATCACCCCTTGTAGCTCCTTCATCTTCATTGTCTGCTATTATTTCTGTCATGTAAGGACAGTTCACAAGCTCAATCTCTTGCAGGTTTGGGAATAGTTGCTGCTGTATTAATACAAGTGCATTGGTCCATTCATATACATCAAGCACCTTATTCATGCTTCGAGCCATTGTCCTAATCCCAAGTGGTAAACCTCCACATTCTTTGGCGACTAACTCTGCAATATTGGAAAATGTTGCCATATGTCATCTAGGACGAGTAGCTTTTTCTAATTATTGACAGCATATTGGACAGGGAGTCCACTTCACAAGACCAAAGGAGGTTCTATCCCAAAACCATATGGCATCTCCAACTTTTTTTACTCTTTAACATTTTTCAACCAGTGCTCAACTTCAATTCTCTTCTTCGTTTCTTTCCTGGATGGTAGCTCAGCAATTTCCAACTCAGACCTGATATCAGATGCTCGAGCTGTCAGAGTATCAAATTCATCTTCAAGAATCTGCATCTTGTCTTTGAGGCTGAAATTCTTGATTATCAAGCTGCTAATGATAGCCATGTTCCCTGACACGATACATCAAAGAGACAGGTAACCAAGGCTATAAAGTTACCTGTTTGTATAACCTTGCTTGATATTCATGAATTTTTTTTATTATAACTAAGTAGAGGCGCAATGAAGCTGCTTAAGATGACGAGAATATCCAAAGAGAAGCCAAAAGTTATAAAACAATACGATATGAAGTGCACAAGAAACACAAGAAACTGATTGTTGCTTCAAATTTTCAAAATAATGTGAACAAAATTATACTTTATACATCTAATCATCCGTAACCATGCATGCCAAGAAGTATGTTGAATGTTGTTATCACATATAACAGTAATATATTTATATATGTGTCCCTTCATACAATTAGGAGGTGCAATTAACATGTTTTATCATGTTAACATTTTTTTTGGTGTTACATCCGGTTCACCCTTTGGGTTAATTCGGATTTGGGAATCAGTTCTGGGTGGTTAGGTTCTAGTCCCCTCCCCATTGTTAACTTAAATCACTCAAACAGGTTGTTAAACAATTTAATCCCGCTGGTTTCATGTCTGGTTAACTTTCGGCGCCACTAGATAAAATCATAAAATTAATGTTAAGGCAGTCAATAAAAGGAAGTAAAGCACTGGAGTGAGGGACCCGTTTCTTTGAATTTCATATCAATGAACTTGCACAGTTGCATTTGCTAACTTTAATCCTACTAACCTCAATTATTTCTCATAGTTAGTGGAAAAAAAGCAGGGGAAAGTGTGATAGAATTTCTTAGCACTTTACTAAAGAGCCTGCTGTTTAGTACCGTTTTTATAATCAGCAACTTTATTGTGATTCATACAATCTCAAATCTATTTTCATTCAGAAAGGCGAGGGAACAAAGAAAATGGCCACAGGAATGGTGTTGAGTGTCGCGCAAACTCTATTTTCAGCACTACAATGCAAGGAATTAAGAGAGTTGTGCTGTATGTTTGGGTATCACTCTCAACTTGAAGCTCTTCGCGGAACTGTTGAAACCATCAAGAATGTCCTCCTTGATGCGGAGTCCAAGCAGCAGGAGCTCAACAGTCAAGGCTTAGATTGGCTTAACAAACTCAAGGATGCAGTCTATGATGCTGATGACTTGTTTGATGAATTCGCCACAATTGCTCAGAGACAGAAAAGGATGCCTCATGGTAAGATCTCCAAAACGGTACGTGCTTTCTTCTCCAGTGAAAACCAGTTTCTTTTTGCTGTTAGTACATCTCAAAAGATAAAGAAGATTAGAGAGAAGCTGGATAGCGTTGCTAAAGATCGTGCAGATTTTGGGTTTAGTAATGTGTATAGAGCTGTTAAGAGAAAAGAGGAAACCTGGTCTTATGTGCATGAACATAGTATAATTGGGAGAGATATCGATAAGGAGGCCATTATAGACATGTTGCTGAGAGAGTCAATTGATAGTGTTTCTTTTGTGAGCATCGTCGGGATGGGAGGATTGGGGAAAACTGCTCTTGCTCAACTAGTGTACAATGATGGTAGGATCAAAAGTGCATTTGAATTGAAGTTATGGGTTTGTGTCTCTGATGACTTTTCTATTGAGGAAATCCTCCATAAGATGTTAAAGTCAGCCGCCGAGCAAGATCCTTGTGATCTTGCAGAGAAAAGTTAGAAGACGAATAGAAGGGACAAAGTATCTTCTTATTCTAGATGATGTGTGGAACGAAAGTCGTGATGAATGGCTTAAGTTGAGGGAGTTCTTGCAGGTAGGTGCAAGAGGAAGCCGAATTGTGGTTACTACACGCTCAGAAAAGGTGGGAGGAGCTATAGGGGACGATCCAATGTATGCATTAAGAGGTTTGCAGGACGATGATTCTTGGCTTTTGTTTAAGAGGATATCACTTAACCACGAGAGTAAAGTGGTAGATGATGACCTTGTTTGCATTGGTAAAGAAATTGTGAAAAATGTGCAAATGTTCCCTTGGCTATAAGGGTCGTAGGGAGCATGTTGTATGGTTGTAACAAAAGCAAGTGGAAATTATTTCAGAGCATTGAGTTGCCTGAAATGGACCGAGGTGAAGAGAGCATAATGCCAATATTGAAGTTTAGTTATCATCATCTTCCTCCTCAGTTAAAGAGTTGTTTTAGTTATTGTGCACTCTTCCCTAAGGATTATGCCATTGTGAAAAATATGTTGATATGTCTATGGTCTGCATTAGGCTATCTTAAGCCGTTGAATGACATGCAGAGCATAGAAGATGTTGGTGAGGAGTATTTTTTTCGATTTTATTAAACAGATGTTTTTTTCAAGACATTGAAAGGGATTCGTATGGTGAAATTTATTCATGTGGAATGCATGATTTGATTCACGATCTTGCACAAGAAGTAGCAGGAAAGGAGCTGTGCTTAACAGAGACTAGCAAAAGCATTCTTGAAGGAAAACGTCATCTCTCCCTTTCTATATGGCGTCCCTCCTTGCTTTGTACAAGTGATACTGTTGGGAAGTTGAGGGGATTGCGTACCTTTCTTCGGCCTTCTATACGTCAGCTGAATTGTGAATCGCCAATGACCACTGTAATAGCAAAATGTAAGCGCCTGAGGGTATTGGACTTGCACCATTTTAGTATAAAAGTTTTACCAAGTACAATAAAGAACCTTCTGCATTTAAGGTATCTTGATCTCTCTTATAATATGGAGTTGAAGATACTTCCTGAGTCGATTTCTAGACTGTATAATTTGCAGGCATTGAACTTAAGATCATGTTTGCAACTAAAAGAGTTGCCTAAGGACGTGAGGGGAACTAGTCAATCTTCGGCATTTAGATACATTTAATTGCTTTAGCTTGACTCATATGCCTGTTGGAATGGATAGTATGACTAGTCTTTGTACCCTTACAAGGTTTGTATTGGGTCCAAAAAGTTCAAAAAAAACCCAAATGGGTCAACTTAGAGATTTGATGCCTCTAATTAACCTTAGAAATAGACTTGAAATTGAACTTAAAAGAGGATATGCATACGATTTGAACAACTCTGAGGAGGGATCATATTTATTAAACAAGGAACATATCAAGGTTTTGTTGATAGAACAAGAAAACATCTGGGTTAGACCACACCGAATCAACCATTTGTATCAGCAGGATGACCCAGTAGTTTTAAAAGAAAGATTGCTAGAAAGACTCGAACCCCACCATGATCTTAGAGAGATTAGAATTACAGGATATGAAGGTGTGACGTTGCCAAGATGGGCAGCCAAACTAGCAATGTCTCTCCCACGGCTTGTGACAATCTCACTAGTGTATTTTCGTGATTTGCAACATCTGCCAGCAATGAGTCAACTACAGCATCTCAAATATCTTACGCTCATAGAAATGCCCAATGTAGAGTTCGTGGAGGATGATAGTGGTGGTGCTGCTGTTGTACCATCGTTTCCGTCACTTGAGTCTTTGTTCCTCTGGAATTGCCAAAGCTTGAAATGTTTTCCTGATTGTCCACATGTGAAAAAATTTACCTTATGTGGCCTCGACGAAGCACTGACATTTTGTAGACATAGAGATGATGCAACGGCCACCTCTGCTGGCTCTTCATTATCAAGCAGCAACAACAATAATTCTGATGTGTTTGATTTGTGGGAATTAAAAACAGACAATTTAGGAATACTCAAGTCCCTTTTCCGTGATTCTATACAAAGCATTCATCATCTCACATTGCTTAACATGGAGGTCCAGAGTTTGTCGAGTTCTGTACAAGAGAATAATCAGAAGTACGCATTTTCCATTCATAGTCTTAAGTTTTTGTCTTGCCAAAACTTAAAAAGTTTGTCAGGAGAAGGAATAGAGTGTCTCACCAACTTGAAAACACTATCGATTTGGGAATGCCATAACCTGAAACTGGAAGAAGAGGAAGGGTTTCCATGGAAAGCCCTTCACGTCCTGTCCGACTTGAGCTTCAATGAACTTCCACAACTGATACATCTACCAAAGGGCCTTCAATACTTGACTACCCTTCAAAGTCTTGAAATTGAATTTTGTGACAAGTTGGAAGCCCTCCCAGAGTGGCTTGATTGCCTCAAGTCTTTGCGATCACTTGACATCCGTTATTGTCTGAGACTGAAATCGCTTCCAGAAGCAATCTTTCCGTCACTCACAACACTCCATATACACTTCTGCGATGGGCTGAAGGAAAAGTACAGCGAACCAAATGGGACAGACTTTCCTAAAATATGTTTCATCCCTGATCTATACCTCTATTTTTGAGTTATCTTGCAAAGCAAATGGTCTCCTCCACATTAGGTAACTCCAACTCTACTATATGCCTTTAGCCTTGTTTTTTTCTTTATTAATCTGCTATTCATGTATCATGTATGTATTTATGTTGTCGAACATTTAATTACCTACATTTAAAAGCCAAAGATTTAATTTACTCAAAAATGCATTAGAGTTGAACTTGATGTATGCTACCAGTATAAAATATTTGTGTCCAGAGGTAAAATATGGGTAATGTATGCTACGGTGACTAATTAGTTGGAAATTGGAATGAATCAATCTTTAACCCGTTTTTTTATTATTATTATTTTTATTTTATTGTTTTATTGTTTATAACAACTTGTGTATTGAAAACTATTTATAATAAGATAGTTTTTTCTTCATCCACAACTTATGTTTGCTTACATGTTACATCATTTGAATATAAAAAACCTTTGCTCCGATTTACAATAATTTTATTGTACATCGAACATTTTGCGAAAAGTGACCCTTTTTTTTTTTTTTTTTTTTTTTTTATAAAAGTGATTTTTTTTTTTCACAAAAGTGTCCTTTTTTCACAAAAAATAACCCTTTATATCCACAAAAGTAACCTTTTTTTTCTTCACAAAAGTAACCTTTTCATGCATAAAAAAAACTCTCTCTACCCACAAAATGTACCCTTTTCATTCATAAAAGTTACCCTTTTAAGCCACAAAAATACCCTTTTCATTCATAAAAGTTACCTTTTCAATTCACAAAAGATATCTTTTTATGCTCAAAAGTTACCCATTTTATACATAAAAGTGACCCCATAAAAAAACTGAATTGAACCTTCAGCATCTAACGACTTCTTTGTAATCTTCTTCTGCACCATCGCAGAATCAAACACTTCAAAGAACGAAAACAAAAACAAATTAAAAAAAATGGTTATCAAACCTTCATTACAAAACGCTGAACATGAGAAAAAACATTCTTCATTACAATCTTCAATATGACACATTTTCATTATAAATTTTTTCTTCTTCAAAGATTTTTTATTTACCAATTGAGTTGATTCTACTAAAAAAAAAATTAACATGAGAAAAAAAAAAAGAGAAAAGGTAAAATGAAAATGCATGAAGAGGAGGGAGAGGATAAGGAGATTATAATGGAATAAAAACCAGAAATATACTCAATGAAAGGAAAAGAGGAGAGAGAAAAATTAAAAAGAGTTTTAAGAGCAGAAGAAAAAATCAGAAAGAGATATAAATAAAAAAAGTAAAAAAAAAAATCTCAAAACCTGACAGTGAGAAGAGGGCAATAATTCCTCAAATTGGGCCGCGCCATACGATAAGTATTGTACACCGGCCTTTTTTAAAAATTTGTGTTTGAATATTTGTTCAAACTAATGCACTCATCTTAACAACACGCGAAAATACGGAATAGTAGAAAAATCAAAACTTAGCAATTAGACCATCTTCAATGGTATTAAAAAAAAAGACTGGTTAGTAAATTAATTAAAATTGCGAGCATATAGCTTACCATTGGAGTGGAAACATCGACATACCAAGATTAAAAACTTAACAACCTGCTCAAACAAGCTACATTACTTGATTTTTCACCCACTTAAATTATGACATGTGTATAATAAAAACTTCTTTATTTATTTATTTATTTATTCTTCGAAGCTACAATATGCTACAAGATAATTTAATTTTAATGTCGAACCTTATTAGACTTTTGTCATTATAATTAAGGATTTTCATTAAAATTGCTAAAAGAAATCAAAATTCCTCAATTACGCTACTTTTTTTTTATCAAAATTCCCTACATGTCATCCCATCATCCTCTTAGAACAAAACCTCTTAGCAGTTCTAAACACTTATAGTGTATTTGGATAACATAAGAGGAAGGAAAAGAAGGGGAGGGAAAGGGAGGGATAGAAGAATGGTGAATTTTCCTTCCAAAACTCTCCATTGTTGAAGGGATCAATTTCCTACAATTTAATCTCTCCATTTCTCTCCCCTTTACTTCCTCATTTGTTATCAAAATGAAAGATATTACATCTCTTCATTTCCCTCTTCTTCTTTTCCTTCCATTTCCTTCTATCCAAACACACCTAAAAAGAAATCTATACTTGGTATTTAAAAAGTATAACCAAGAAACTAAGAAAGACACATGTCCCCATCCATTCTATTACACTTCTCTAACCATAGTGTCACATGTCATCCTACACTATTAATTTTTTATTACACCATTTTTTTTAATTCTTTCATTAAACTTATACTTCATCTTTCATACACACTTCATCTCTCCCCTTTAATTCAACCTTTTCCTATTCTCTCTTTAATTTTAGCCCTTCCACCTTAAATTTAAGTATCTTTTTCGATTAAAGTTCCAAAATTTTAATTTCTTTAATCATGTTTCTGCTTACATATTATACCCTATAATGACTTACTGATATTTCACTACAAGAAAACAGCAGAATTGCGACGGACAAACTTCGTCGGAACTTATCCAAAATCCGTCGGAAAAGAGGGTTCCGACGAAATTCCGTCGGAAGCGTCTGTCGAAAAACACTTTGTAGGAAATTGGACGTTTTCCGACGGAATTTCCGTCGTAAAGCTCATTTGCGATGGAGACGGAATTTTCCGTCGCAAAATATAATTTCCGACGGAAAATTCCGTTGGAAGTTTTTGTTTGCGAGGAAATATTCCGTCGAAATTATATATTTGCGAGGAAAATTTCCGTCGGAATATTTTGTTTGCGAGGAAAAATTCCGTTGGAATATATATTTTTGTGAGGAAAATTTTCGTCGGAATTATGTATTTGTGACGAAATATTCCGTCGGAATTCTTTGTTTGCGAGGAAATATTCCGTCGGAAAGACCTTCCAGCCCGCCATAAATTTCTGTAAAAAAATGCATTTCCAAACCTGAATTTTGTTTATAATAAATCGACAAAAAAAAAAGCATTTCAAAACCTGAAATTGTTGTTTTAAAAAAATTAATTACCGACCTACGAAATTATATTTATTTACATATATATATTTAGTAATTATGTTCTAGTACAAAAGATAGTCCATATTTTGGTATCTATACCAAACAAAAGCTATGTTAGAGAGGATATTTGCTAGACTAAAGCTAAGCTACGCAATCGCCGGGGTACCCCGGCCTGCTCCACCACTACCCGGGTCGTCCCTTGGGTCTCGATGCTGAGGATGAATGGTGGAACATGAGTCGTTGTTGGTGAAACGACTCATCATCTCATCCATACTCTCCTTGTATCTCCTCTCTATTTCAGCCATTCGGGAGTCAATTAGCCTTTGCATCTCGGCTTCCATTTGAGTTTGGAGAGCTTGACCCTGTGTTCCATCTGGTCTTGCATCTGAGAAATGACAGACGGCGTTCCGGTTTCCATAGTAGAGCTCTGCACTTTGGCCAAGTCCCTTCACACAACTTACCGATATTTTTCCGATTACATATTAATAATTATACCCTATAATGACTTACTGATATTTCCTCACTTATCTCTCAATACAATTTTTATATGAATAATCACTCTCCCTCACATGAAAGGCCCTTTGGGCTTGAAATGTGGATGCAACACAGGCCCACCCATACCTGATGCGAATTAATTCTACTTTGAAGGAGGGGCGGATGAGATTCGAACCCGTGACAATTGTGTCACGCTGGCTCCGATACCATGTTAGAGGACCATCTCAACCAAAAGCTTAAACTAATGGTTGAGACCGATGAATATGTTTTAAACTATTTATTCATCATTGTAAACCCTATTAACCAATAACTAATATAATAATTTGTGATTAAACAAAAGATACACGTAATAATCGTAACAATTAATAATTAATAGTAATAACAATATAATGATGCAAGTTAACGAAAGTAGAATCTATAAAACCAAATAAAAATAAGCCTAAGAAATTATACGAAGTGCATAGGAATTAATCATAATTGGATGCATGTTTTCTCAAAAACATTATTAAAAAAAAAAGTTTTTTTTATATAGTAACTCTCTAATTTTTCATTTTCTATAATGTGTCCCTCTTTTGAGAAATTCACACTATAATCCAAAAATACATTCAGTTCCTATATGGTAACCTGATGCGGTTCCAAGGCATCAATATTGTTATTATAATTATTTTTATTGTTATTTTTAGTTAATTATTAGATGACCGAATTTATTAGGATATTTTTGTTAGTTTAATTCGGTTAGTATAAGATAAGCTTAACTTTAAAGATCATATTTGCAAAATATTATCTTTACAAGTTAGAGTTAGTTATTAGAATTTGTGACCTAGACAAATATTATCTTTTAAATTTTGCAGGTGAAAACTAGACAAAAAATTAACCAATTTGAAAAAAAGAATCACCTCAAAATCTTTAAAAACAAAGAAGAAACAAGTCGATCAATGTGACCTTTGAAACTGAGTTTTTTTTGACACAAATTGTCAAATTCGTCTCTCGTTATCCTAGCAGCCACACCAATTTGATATGGATTTTGATGGATATAACCTTCAATCGCAGTTGAAAGGTTTGGAATCTTGAGTCTCAGTCAAGAAACGCTAAGCAACACGAGCTTAAAACCTAAACTAGGCCAAGAATACACAAGCACAAGCTTACGTAAAACTTCTTTTCTAAAGATTTTGAGGTGATTATTTTTTTCAAATTGGTTATTTTTTTGTCTAGTTTTCACCTGCAAAATTTGAGAATTTTTCGAGAAGCATAGCTATTAAACTGGGTTCGTTCTTTACACCTGGTCAAAAATCAAATTAATCTGCCATTGTTGAGGAAAAAATAAACTGCAATCACTTGGCTAGGAATTTTTTGCTGAATTTTTGTTCGAGTATTTTAGACAGATAGGGCTAGCAGTATACAAAATTTCAGAATTTTTCGAGGTGTTTTCATCGGGTTTTGGTCCTCGTACTTTCGATCAATTTTTGGACTGGTTTTGTGTGTTTTCTCATCCACATAAACATGGAAAATAAAAGTTAGTTTGAAGCATTTATGATGG